TTTTTTTTTTTTTAAACCTAGAAACAGTTTTTTTTTCCAGAAAAACAGGTTTTATTTCAGAAAACAGAAACAGTTTTTTTTTTTCCAAAAAAAAAAAACGTTTTTTTTTTATTTTCAACAACAAAAGTCAGATACTTTATATTGTAGAAATAATTATAGTTTTAAGCATATATTTATAATTGGAATTAATAAAAATTGCTACTAAACTTTTGGCCAAATTAACAATTATTAGATTTATGATATGAGCAATATAATTATGAGTGTTGTAATCTAAAATTCGAAATAAAACATGCAAACAATAGTTATATCATATAACATGCAATTTAAATAAATACATAAAATGTATAAACATGTAATCTAAATAAACTAAATAAATTAATTTGGAATGAGCTGGCCTGCGAGTCCGAGAGGCGTGTGATCACTGTCCTAAAACAGCTGAGCCTCCCCACGTGAGGGTACCGATGGACACCAGCGAGTCCAAGATCCAACCCAGACACTCACAGCAACACCTTTTCAATGGTCACATCTACTGGAAGGTTGAAGTAAACCTGATTCAAATCGAGTTGTCCCAAAAATAAAGTAATAGAGGATAATTGAAAAGTATGTCAAGTATGAAAAGAAAAACTATTGAAAGATTTTGGAGTGGATTTTCATTGGACCTAAAAGCTATCTTAAAAGCCCCTTATATATAGTCATTGTGTATGTAACGTACACATGAAAAAAACCACTATTCAGTTTTTTTTAGCCGTTTTGCTTTTGGTGTCTTTTGCTGTGGTTTTTATTGTTGAGCCTTGAATAGCCATAAGACTAATTTTATTCTTTAATATTCACAATAAATTAGATAAAATTATGTAACTGAAAATTCAAAACTCAATTAAAAAAATATGTAACTGAAATTTAAAATTTAAACATGATTAAAATGAGAATTCAATAAAAGTTTTAAAAACTTAATTTTATTCTAACAAACAATTCTTACCATCAACCCATAAATTGATGTAGAAACTGATACAAAGTTAAACGATATGAATTTTTTAGAGAGTTGATCTGCCACGAACCCATGAATCAAAACTCATTTCTAAGCCACGAACTTGAACACAACGAGTCACAAATCACTGTTAACCCTAGAGTACACGGTCGAAAAAACTCTGTACAATATTCAGGCACTTGCGTGAGATTAAGCTATGATCGTAAAATGTTTAATTAATAACTATCATTTCTAATTCAACAATATTGAAAATTGCAAAGATTTATGGCAGCTAACAAATGAAAGTACCTGTAATCAGGTGGATTAGTTGGCCATAATTCAACCCAGTCTTTCAAAGGACTTGCATAATGTTTGAGAAAAACCCTCCAAAACTGTACCTTGTCAACACCACCCCCCAAGCTTGTACCATACCTGACCGGCTTGTGCACGTCGTTAGACATGAACTTCACTTTCTCTCCGGTTGGCAAGTCGAAAAATCCGATGGCCACCGAAAGTGCTCCATCCAGGATTGATTGAGGTATTCCATGATTCATAATCTTTCATATACAAAAAAAATAAAAATAAAAATAAACAAGGAAAATAGAGAAACATCGTTAGCATGTGAAAACATTATGAGCAAAGTATGAAAAAATAGGACCATAGACATAAAATGCAAATTATTCGAGCGTGTAGTTATGATCGTTTACAAGAAAAAAGTTATTTTTTGTTCTTTCTGTGATTGCTAATGACATGTTTCAAACTTATGACCCTTCCCTAACAATAAGAAAAGGAATATATTGATTATTTGGTATCGTTTAATAACATTTTTTGAATAACTATGTAAAATAAAACAAAATTTCGTTAAGAAACAAAAGTATATTTGATTACAACAAATACATGCACATACGTACAAACTTGTAGTATTACAATTCCGACTAAATATGGAAAAACGTAACACATCCCACACAAGGAAAAAGAGCAAAAAACCAAAAAAAAATGCTATTTTTAGAAGGAAAAAAACACCAAGAAAAAAGATACATAAAAAGCGTTATGAAACCTAGCGTAATATATGCCGAACACTTACCTGGAAGAAGCCTTTGGTGCGACAAGCATTTCCAATGTTTTTGATGATGAGAGACCGTTGTGCAGGGTCCTTATCCAACCCAGCCAAGTCAATGACAGGCACATCGGCTGTCTCTGGATTTAAACTAGGTCTATGTGAAGGTGGAATCATATAACATTCAGGTACATGTGACAATCCTTTTTCTTGGGCCGTTTTGCCCATTGGAAAAGAGCTTGATGAACCCTCATCCTTGCTATCCATCCTAGTCTCAAAGAGAGAGAGAGAGAAGAGAGAGAGAGCTCAAAAATGTAGTGTACATGGAGAGAGAATGGGTTAACACCACCAATGAGCTAAAGGGTATTTATAGGAATATGTGACCTTAATTGTAGCGTGTGATACGTTCTCTAATGCAGTGAAATGCTTAATCTTTTCTTATATTGATCTATCATGTAATTCGCGATTATCTATTTGAGTAATGTTACATGAACTTAAAAACTAGACTTGATAATCTCAACTATTAATTTTACTGTGAATCCCACTACCTATTCAATGATTGAGATTATCAAGTCTAATTTTTAAGTCTAAGTTCTTAAGTACATCTAGAATTACTCTATCTATTTTATGACAGTATCACAAATGTGTACAAGTGTTATTTGATTTGATGACTTACTACAATGTTGAATCATAAATGAATTGTCTTTGTCTGGTACGTCATTATTTTGTGTGTAATGTTGACTTTGTTTGAAACTGCTTGAATTCTGTGTGTCCGTCCAAACGACCCCTCTAACGCACAGGCCTTGCATGACGTTATTGGAATCTATATCGTTGTTGCAACGAACCGGTTCTAGTCTTGATTCCGTGTGAAAAAATAAATACTTCGATAACGCCATGCCTCACATAATATTATCATTTAATTATAAATAAATATGTAAGATTANCATAAAATGCAAATTATTCGAGCGTGTAGTTATGATCGTTTACAAGAAAAAAGTTATTTTTTGTTCTTTCTGTGATTGCTAATGACATGTTTCAAACTTATGACCCTTCCCTAACAATAAGAAAAGGAATATATTGATTATTTGGTATCGTTTAATAACATTTTTTGAATAACTATGTAAAATAAAACAAAATTTCGTTAAGAAACAAAAGTATATTTGATTACAACAAATACATGCACATACGTACAAACTTGTAGTATTACAATTCCGACTAAATATGGAAAAACGTAACACATCTCACACAAGGAAAAAGAGCAAAAAACCAAAAAAAAATGCTATTTTTAGAAGGAAAAAAACACCAAGAAAAAAGATACATAAAAAGCGTTATGAAACCTAGCGTAATATATGCCGAACACTTACCTGGAAGAAGCCTTTGGTGCGACAAGCATTTCCAATGTTTTTGATGATGAGAGACCGTTGTGCAGGGTCCTTATCCAACCCAGCCAAGTCAATGACAGGCACATCGGCTGTCTCTGGATTTAAACTAGGTCTATGTGAAGGTGGAATCATATAACATTCAGGTACATGTGACAATCCTTTTTCTTGGGCCGTTATGCCCATTGGAAAAGAGCTTGATGAACCCTCATCCTTGCTATCCATCCTAGTCTCAAAGAGAGAGAGAGAAGAGAGAGAGAGCTCAAAAATGTAGTGTAGATGGAGAGAGAATGGGTTAACACCACCAATGAGCTAAAGGGTATTTATAGGAATATGTGACCTTAATTATAGCGTGTGATACGTTCTCTAACGCAGCGAAATGCTTAATCTTTTCTTATATTGATCTATCATCCAATTCGCGATTATCTATTTGAGTAATGTTACACGGACTTAAAAACTAGACTTGATAATCTCAACTATTAATTTCACTGTGAATCCCACTACCTATTCAATGATTGAGATTATCAAGTCTAATTTTTAAGTCTAAGTTCTTAAGTACATCTGAATTACTCTATCTATTTTTTTACAGTATCACAAATGTGTACAAGTGTTATTTGATTTGATGACTTACTACAATGTTGAATCATAAATGAATTGTCTTTGTCTAGTACGTCATTGTTTTGTGTGTAATGTTGACTTTGTTTGAAACTGCTTGAATTGTGTGTGTCCGTCCAAACGACCCCTCTAACGCACAGGCCTTACATGACGTTGTTGGAATCTATATCGTTGTTGCAACGAACTGGTTCTAGTCTTGATTCTGTGTGAAAAAATAAATACTTCGGTAACGCCATGCCTCACATAATATTATCATTTAATTATAAATAAATATGTAAGATTAGTATATTCATCAAATGTTATGATCACTAATAACCTCTACATTCACATTGAAGTAATGGGGTTCACTTGTTATTCTTGTTTATTTATTATTAATCAATGACATTACATGGGATAATCGTTGCATTAAATATTTACTCCGAATTTAGGCAAGTGGATGGGATTTTGGAAAGAGTAATGGTATTGGGACATAATGCATTGTGACTATTAGATTATCAGTGAGTTACAACATTANAGGCAAGTGGATGCGATTTTGGAAAGAGTAATGGTATTGGGACATAATGCATTGTGACTATTAGATTATCAATAGGTTACAACATTAAATGCATTCCATTATCAATCTAATGATAATAATGTATTATATTTTTAAATTATGTCTCAATAACATTAATATTTTGGAAAAGACGGCAAGAGTTATGTTGGTAACATGCCGACCGCCCTGCCGTTGGTAACATGACGATTTTGTTTGGAAAAGAAAACATACACTTCATTTGTACCGCCCCACCTCCCTCCCTCCCTCCGGCGTTGGGTATAATGCATACATGTTTGCTTACATGGTTATAATGAATACAGACACTTCATTAGTACCCACAAGTGATGTTCGCTAACATATTTTCAGCAAAAAAGATGGCTTTTTCTCGCTGCCTGGGCGGGTTTGAGTTTCGGGTAAAATACTAGACCGACAAAAAAGGACTAATTTAAGTACGTGACGTTGATATGATAGTGTTTTAGTTCCACTTTTATTTAAAACTTATATTTTACCCAACATCTCATATCATTTGGACGCTGTTTTGTGTATGATTTTATTCAGTCTAGTATTACCCTTGAGTTTAATCAGGTGGATTACTCGGCCATAATTCAACCCAGTCTTTCAAAGGACTTGCATAATGTTTGAGAAAAACCCTCCAAAACTGTACCTTGTCAACACCACCTCTCAAGCTTGTACCATACCTGACCGGCTTGTGCACGTCGTTAGACATGAACTTCACTTTCTCTCCGGTTGGCAAGTCGAAAAATCCAATGGCCACCGAAGGTGCTCCATCCAGGATTGATTGAGGTATTCCATGATTCATAATCTTTCATATACAAAAAAAATAAAAATAAAAATAAACAAGGAAAATAGAGAAACATCGTTAGCATGTGAAAACATTAGGAGCAAAGTATGAAAAAATAGGATCATAGACATAAAATGCAAATTATTCGAGCGTGTTGTCATGATCGTTTACAAGAAAAAAAAGTTATTTTTTGTTCTGTGATTGCTAATTACGTGGTTCAAACATATGACCTTTCCCTAACAATAAGAAAAGGAAATATTTGATTATTTGGTATCGTTTAATAACATTTTTTGAAATAACTTTGTAAAATAAAACAAAATTTCGTTAAGAAACGAAAGTATATTTGATTACAACAAATACAAGCATATACGTACAAACTTGTAGTATTATAATTGCGACTAAATATGCAAAAACGTAACACGTCCCACACAAGGAAAAAGAGCAAAAAACCAAAAAAAATGCTATTTTTAGAAGGAAAAAAACACCAAGAAAAAAAATACACAAAAAACGTTATGAAACCTACCGTAATTTATGCCGAACACTTACTTGGAAGAAGCCCTTGGTGCGACAAGCATTTCCAATGTTTTTGATGATGAGAGAACGTTGTGCAGGGTCCTTATCCAACCCATCCAAGTCAATGACAGGCACATTGGCTGTCTCTGGATTTAAACTAGGTCTATGTGAAGGTGGAATCATATAACATTCAGGTACATGTGACCATCCTTTTTCTTGTGCTGTTTTGCCCATTGGAAAAGAGCTTGATGAACCCTCATTCTTGCTATCCATCCTTGTCTCAAAGAGAAGGAGAGAGAGAGAGAGAGAGAGCTCAAAAATGTAGTGTAGATGGAGAGAGAATGGGTTAACACCACCAATGAGCTAAAGGGTATTTATAGGAATATGTGACCTTAATTATAGCGTGTGATACGTTCTCCAACACAGCGATATGCCCAACCTTTTCTTATATTGATCTATCATGTGATTCGTGATTATTCATTTTATGACAATATCACAAATGTGTACAAGTGTTATTTGATTTGCTTACTGATACTATAATCTTGAATCATAAATGAATTGTCTTTGTTTTTTACGTCGTTGTTTTGTGTGTAATGTTGACTTTGTTTGAAACTGCTTGAATTGGGTGCGTCCGTCCAAACGACCCCTCTGGCGCATGGGCCTTGCATGACGGTATTGGAATCTATAACGTTGTTGCAACGAATTGGTTCTAGTCTCGACTCTGTGTGAAAATATTTCGGTAATGCCACACCTCACATAATATTATCATTTAATTATAAATAAATATGTAAGATTAGTAGATTCATCAAATGTTATGATCACTAATAACCTCTACATTCACATTGAAGTAACGGGGTTCACTTGATATACTTGTTTATTTATTATTAATCAATGACACTACATAACGATCATGATATGAGGTAATTATTGCAGTAAATATTTACTCCAAATTTGGGCAAGTGGATGGGATTTTGGAAAGATTTATAGTATTGGGACATAATGCATTGTGACCATTAGATTATCAGTGGGTTGCAATATTAAATGCACCCCACTATCAATCTAATGATAATAATGCATTATATTCTTAAATTATGTCTTAATAACATTAATGTTTTTGAAAATACGGCAAGAGGTACGTTAATAACATGCCGACCGCCCTGCCGCTGGTAACATGACGATTTTGTTTGGAAGAGAATACATACACTTCA